CTACAGTGTGTTGAATTCATGTTAATGTGGATTTAAAGACATTTCAATTAAAGGCGAAAATTGCAGGGGGAGATAGAAAAAAAAAAAAAAGTCTAATCAACCAAAACTTTCGCGACCCCCATGCAGTACCTCTGTGGAACCCCTTAGGGTCGCGGACCCCCTGTTGAAGACCTCCGCTCTAGAAGTTTTATACTGAAAGAGTTGATAAATTTTTGTATCTTTAGAAAACTCATGTACAGTAACAATAAATTATGAGAAAAAAGCCCTCCCTGTTATTGCAAGAACATTGAACAATGTATGTTTCCAGCAGACACCACTAACATGATTAGTCAGATGCATCAAAGAACAGAGGCTGTATTACTTACTCCAGACACTGAGCTTAATGTGCCTTTCAAAGTTTCCGTTGGGGAAGGTGGATATGTGGCACTTGTAGACGCCTTCGTCAGACACCTGCGTCTGTGGGATGAGCAGAGCTGAGCTCTCCTTGGTCGGGTAAAAGCTCTCGAACCTCACCAAGCTAGAGTACTGCGAAAACTCTGGAGAACAAAATAAAACAAACAGAAATCATTGTTAAAAGTTGTTTTAAAATATAAGTGAATAAAACTTTGTTCAACTTTGTCTGAAGAAACAGATTTGGAGTGTCTGTATCTGTGTTTTGTTCCACCGTACATTTCTCAGTATTAATCCCATTAAGTTTAACTACTAAACTGTGTACTGGACTATAAGGGTGATCCCTTTTTATCCAAGAGGCTGGGATGTTAATATTCTTTTTCATCCGTGATGAGTAACCTGTCTTTTTAAAGGATCACCTCCCTGTAAACCCAAACATCTTTTACATGAGGATTTTAGAATCTAAATCCCCTGTTTTAAGTAATGATAACAATATTAGCTTCTTTTGAATAAGCACTTTAAGAGGCTATTTTATTCTATATTTCTAATAGAGGATTTGAGACTACAAAACATTGACTTTCACATCACAACTGCAAATATTTGTGCTAAATATATTCTGATTTCTTTTAACATGGAAACTGATAAACAAAAGAAAAGAACAAACATGGAGACATCTAAGGGAATTAATGCAGATATTAGAGACCCTCCCTTTTTCTTAAGATGAATGCTGTTGGGAAGGATTTGGGTGGAAAACTGAATGACAGTAAAATAATCAACTTCCTGTTGAAATATATATAAAAAAAAAATGACACTAAGATACAGAGGGAATATACAGTTATGGAGCCTATTAGTGATGGGTCAGAGTCGTGGCACCAGAGCCTTTTTCACTGCATACTTTATACCAGGGGTCACCGACGTGGTGCCCACGGGCACCAAGGGGCCCTCAAGGACCACATGGGGGGCCCTCTTCGTCTTCTGAAAGCAGAACAACTCACTCTGTAGGTTAAGTTTAATTTTTTTTTTATTCTGTTGCTCTTCTTTTTAATCATTTATGTATTATTTCATCATGTTAACTATTTCATCATATTTTTGTGGTTTCAAAATGACAATATCAAAATAAGAAATGAATAAAAGAATAAAAATGAGTTTTTATGCATGAGATTTACTGTAGGTGAACACTGATCCCTCCAGTTCATAGGTCAGTATTGGTATGACCCGGTAGCCATGAAGTAGCCCTCAGCCTTAAAAAGGTTGGTGACCCCTGCTTTATACACTTACCTATATGGTCAGTACATTTCTGCAGTGCAAGTGCAATAAACCAAGTCAACTACTGTGTAATCCTCCCTTAGCTCTCTGTGCAGACATTTTTATATCTAAGGGAAACATATTGCAGGAAATTACAACTTTTTTTCTTTTTTTGTGCTTTTTTTGTACTCACTCACTCTTTTTATATTGTCTGTTGTATTTTTATCTTAAATAGCATCTTGCTTTGTACTTTGTACTCTATTTAAGCTACTTGAACCACAATTTTCCTAAAGGAGTAATACCAAGGGATAAATAAAGTTGAGTCTACTGTAAGTCTTTTTGGGAAAGTTTTACTTGGGTGTGTTGAAAGTTTCCAACCTGGGATTCAGGAAGGTTTGTTAGCTTCTGTTTGGCTCTGAACAGCAGATATATCTTTATATATATTTATATGTACTTATGATGAATTTCAAGGAATGTCTGGCCATCGCATCAAATAGTTAAAAGGATCTGCAGGAGGCTAACGATCATTAACCCTGAGGTGTTCTTAGGGGTTAATGTGGGAGTATAAAGTACCTAGGATGCTTTAAATCAGACATCCCCAACCTCGGTCCTCGAGGGCCGCTGTCCTGCAGGTTTTAGAAGTTTCCCTGCTTTAGCACAGCTGATTATAACGATTGCAGTAGACCAAAAGCCTGTTAATCAGCTGTCAATTAAAATTAGCTGTGCTGGAGCAAGGAAACCTCTAAAACCTGCAGGACAGCGGGCCTCGAGGCCCGAGGTAGGGGATGCATGCTTTAAAGTGTAACTAAAGCAAGCTTTACATCCACATTCCCGGCACAGAGTTAAAGTTGTTCTCTGGTTGGATTCCTAGAAAAACTCCCTAACAGATCCAGAATCCCTGCCATCAATCTTCTTTTTTTTGATGTTATGGACAAAATTATTAAAAAGAGTTTTGGAAACTCAGAATCTTTGCTTCTTTTTTTGCAGAAGATGTGGTTCTATTCTATTGTCAATCGCATTGGTTCCTGCAGAGGTTTACAAAAAAGAATTCAACTACCTACTCTGGTTCAGGGATCAGTCTGTATCGTACCAGGGAACTCCTGATAACCTAGAGTATTTTTCCTGAGTGGGGGCAGGATGGAGGGGGCAGGATGCATAATCACTATTTGGGGAACTTGGCAGCCATAAAATGCAACCGTTTGCAGGAATTTTACAAGGAATTTTAGAGACCTTTTCAACACACCACTTATCATCCTCCCTGTATGAGTCTGTCAGAGTTCCAGTGGTCTTCAATGTGTCCGTTGGTCTTACTGTAGAAATGAGGGGGTGAAGGAGAGTAGCTATACATCTTAGACATCATCTTAGGCATAGGGGAATGTTTTTGAGTCTTATCTAAACCTCAGAAACACACAAAAAACACAGAAATATCTCCCAAGAATTTACTCTCCTTAATGAATAAAAGCTCCTCTTTGGTGGTATACCTTTAATGCCTTCAGTGAAGTGGGCCATGATGACAGGGTCGTCTCTGCCATCTGGTAGCTCCTTGTTCCAGGTGACCTGCACCACATTCTCCCCTGGCGCTGCCTTGTAATGGCAGGGAAGTCTCGTCGGAGAGTCAGTGAAAGACAGAATATCGGTGTTAGGCTGAAGAGGCTCCACAAAGGCACCCCGAACACATGGTACTGAGGAGAGAACAGAAAGAAGTCATCAATCAATGATAAAGGTATTACATGTTGGGACAAAGAATGCATGAACTAGCATGTGAAGCTTCCAGGAAAGCTCCATGATAAAACCAAGTGTTGCAACATTTCCTGGCTAATGTTCAGATAACTGAACTGGGGTAGTATCTGTTATTGGGAAGGAACATGTGCCCATGCAGAACCCTAGAAGATTTTCTGCTTCATCCTAAAGCAATAATTATTATAAGAAATAGTCCGAGTCTGTTGAGTGCCAGCCGCCCTCAGTGAAATACTAAAGAACCTCAGTTGGTTTGTTTAAAGACAAACACACAGCTTACAGTTAGAAGTTCACCCAACCTGCTTGACTTTGGACTCAGTGTCACTGAGAAAACACTTCTTAAGGAAAGGAAAGGAATGTCTGTATGTGTTTTAAGACAACTAGGCTGAAAAAAACGACCGCTCTTCTTCAGTATTCTGTTTCAAAGCATACAATAACGAAGGTTTATAGCTAATCCTGAGTTCCTCGCTCAGAAATGGCTGCCGTTGCTGCTTTTATTTTATATCTGTGAGACCAAACGCGGTAAAAATAACATGATTTTGTACGTTCAGCTTTCTTTTAGCGATTTACTTTGTATTCAACCAGTTATTCCTTAGTTGAATACCATTTCTAAACCCTTCAATCATGTTTGACTCAAAGCAGCCATTAACCTTTGCTCTAGAATGTTGAAATTAACTACATTTGAAAACACAGTTTTCACCAAACTGAGGCAGTCATTATGGTCCCAGGCTTGATTAGATGGCTGTTTATTTACTACTTCCTTTTAAAAAAAAAATCTTTATCCATTGCTGCCGGGTACTACTGTGTTCAACGCTGCCAAACAGGAAGTTAGGCTGATTCTTGGTATCATTAAATCATGACAAACAACCTTGAGACCTGGTTATTACATAATAACTATTACTTTTATTTTCATTTAGACAATCCCCACAGATACATTACAGCTCATCACAGGAATAAGATCATTTCTACAAGTTGAAATATGTACATGCATCCGCATTTACGTTTAGATGAATATTGCTTTGCAGGTTGCAGCCTGATTTCTTGCTTTTAGTCGCCAACAACAAAACCCTCTTACAATTCTGAGACAATTATGAGTTTATACAAACCAGTTGGTTTGTTGCGATGGGAACTTAGAGGTCACTTATGTGCAATTTTCAATTATCTGCAAAGTGTCAGGGTTAGATGAAAGGAAAAACCCAGGGACCAATCAAAAAGAAGATGGAACGCCGCTGCTCATGGAGAAGCAAGCTTAGCATCATCTCTGCACCAAAATTAACACATTTAAGCTGGAATAAAGACCTAGATGTTTAGGGATCAGCCAGGACAAAGATATCATGTATAATGGTGGAGGTCGCGTTATGCAATGGGTGTAGGATTATGCAATGGCCAGTGGATCTGTTGAATAAAATAAAGTGAATTGGAATCATGAGGATTACCTCCTTGTTTTCAAAATGGGTCAGGAGGGAGATGAGGGCTAAAGACAGATAAGATAAGACACTAGAAAATAGATAAATAGTTTTACAAGAGTAAAAATATTGAGATATTTGGTCACAATGAGGGATTATGTTTAAAGGGTCAGGGTAAAGCTCTACATTCAGAGAATGCTGTGCTTCCTGTTGGGCATGGGGGAGGTGTCATCATGCTGCTGCTCAGAGTGGACAGAGGAATTATTGAACTTCACTTTAAACCTATGCTGGGTGTAACCTGTTGGATAGATGGTTAAAATATCTGGCCTAAATATCCAAACAGTACAAATAACTCAAACAAACATTATAACCTGCTTTAAAAAAATGGCTTTAGGCTTCTAGAAGCTCCTCAGTTTTAATCCTTTTCAAAATGTGAACTCAAAGGCTTGAAAGCAACGTCTGGGATTCCAGCTAATTCAATTCAAACTTGTAGACTCAATTCTTGTTTTGGAAATTGTTGAAGCTGATTGTTTTTTAATGACATAGTAAAGCAAAAATATTGGAACGGAGCTGTACTGTGTAGCCATTAAAACTGTGATGTGAACGTTTCAATTAACCTGCATTTTGTTCACACCCCTCCTCCTCATCATGGTTTGTCCCAATAATGCAAGCTGAAGCATTCTGGCAACTTAGGTCCTGATAAAGTTTGTGCATCAATTAGAAAAGCAGTTTTTCATTAATTCCCTTTGGGAAACAGAATCACATGATTTAGAGCTTTGCTGCTTCAGTAAAGCTAAAGAAACTTTTTGTAGACTGGCCACAAGGTAAAGCTCTGCTACATTAGAGGTTCTCACGCAATGATGTCTTTCAAACTGTCCGAAGCTCTGCACTGTGCAAGTTAATTACTTTTATCAGATCTTTCTTAGAGGCTGCGTTTAACCGTGGGAGAACCGGAGAGAGAGCGGCGTATCAAAAACCCAAACAACTGAACTTTGATTTCTGGGACGAACACGTTTAAATCTGCTCTGGTTACTGATTCACAAACCCCATGAATGATTACAAAAATGCCAATATGGGACATAGACTCCCACAGATTCTGCAAGGACACCTCGACACTGCCGTTCAGAGCGCCCACGCTGAGAGGAGAAGTCAATCTGGAGAGAGAGGCCGTGAGACGGGCAACGAGTCAAACTGAAGGTGATTTTAGAGCAAGGCCAAATGGAATAAGGCCAGAGATAAGACACATGAGATAAACAGCAAACAGAGAGAAAGGGTTAACCATCAGGAAAGAGTTAACCATCGTTCAAACATCCCAGACAAACACCAGTTGATAAAGCTGCCATTCAGGCTTTTCCTGTTCACTCAGAGTGACAGTAACTCCATCACACCTCAGATTATCACACCTGTTGAAACCAAAGGTCTGATAAGTGCATTTCTTCTTCTAAATGGAGCAGCATTCACAGACCCTATCTCTGTCACTGGCTTAAATCCACAGTGTGGGTCAAACAAAGAGGGATGAGTAGCAGCAGAATTAGTCACAGAAACAGGAGAAGCAACTTGCGCAAGAAGTTCTGACTTTAGTTCAGAGGAAGCAGGAATGCACCCGAGCTGCATTCTGTTCCGTCGCACCTTCAGACGACTAGAAAGGCTTGTATGTGGACATCAAAACTATACATGCTGATGTCTGGGTTACTTTAGACCTGCAGGCTGCAGGGATCTACTTGAACAAAGTTGACTGACAGCAAAGGTCTGATTTATTGGAGTGGGTTCACACAGCTCCTGGTAAACCAGGTTTAAAAAAAAAAGAAATTTATGACAAGCAATTATAGCAACAAACAGCCTACTTAGCCCTCCTAAAACAGAAAACCATGCGCTAAATGTGTTTTCTTTAGTCACTTTCACAAAACAAATCCAGAAAAGTTAGTTAATAAGTTCAATCTCTAACGTTCTGCTCTCTACTTTTTCTCATAGTAGCTTCGGCCAGTCTGTTCCTGTTTGGCTCTGACTCCATCCTGAGAGAAATATCAGCTCTTCTGCTGCCATCTAAACCTTTGTTTATAGATGTTGGAGATTGGCCTGTTTTCCAGTGTAGTCCTGTTTCTCTGACTGTGACTGGCTGGATGTGCTCTCTTCATCCTCTGACATGGGAGCTGGCTCGGAGCTCGTCTGCCTGGCTGTGTGTTTCCTGGACGGGGCCGCCTTTTACAGTTTTTTGTATCTCTGCTTCTGTCTGCTTGAACCCCACTCGGCCTCGGCAGATGGCCGCTCACACTGAGCCTGGTTCTCCTGGAGGTTTCTTCCTGTTAAAAGGGAGTTTTTCCTCTCCACTGTCGCTACAAGCATGCTTAGTGTGAGGGATTGCCTTGAAGTCAATGAGTAGATGCAATCAACTGGTTTTCCTTAGATAGAAAACTTTGAATCAATTTGACTGGATGATCTGGTTGAACTGTCTCTGTAAAGTGCCTTGAGATTAAATATGTTGGGAGATGGCGCTGTATAAATAAACTAATTAAATTGAAAAGCCAAGTCGACATGCTTCTCCCAGGGTCTTTATGATATAAGGAATTAAAATATATATAAATAAAAGTAAATACTCAGAGAAAGGGTTTGTGGATCACTTAAAGTAGTCCTGGAAAAAAATTTATAAAACACTTTCAAATAAAAGATATTTTTATAGTGTGATATTTTCACATTCAATAATCAGTAAAAATATTTGTTTTATCCATCTAAATCTTAACATTCCTTTAAAATAAAAGTTTAAAAACAATGACCTTCAATTTTTTTTCACTCTCAAAACAACTATAGCTATTTCTCTTCGATATGAGAGCAACTACAGAACATATAATTATTATAAGGCAGATGTGTGGTAATGTTTGTGAATCAGGAAATGGACCCAGGATGAAAAAAATAAAAAAGAACTTTGCCAAAGAATATAACTTGGCCAAATTTCCTCTCAAAGCTTTAAAATGTTGCTCTAACAAAGTCCAGGTTGGACAAGTTTATCTCACTACCACACACAATATGCATGATCTATATCTAAAAAATCCAACTTTGGTCAATTAGGCATTTTTTACCTTCAGGTCAAGATGGTGCAAGTGTCTTATGAGAATGATTTGCTTTGCACCATTGTACAAATTGTGTCATTAAATAAAACACTGTCAAAAAAAGGTGTAGCTGCTAACGTAGCTTAGAGTTCAGAAAAAATAAAATAAAATTAATTAACCAATCAAAAACCCTTGCTTGTGATCTTCTTCAGGAAGTTTTGCCTGTTTGCTTGTTGGAATGGCCTGAAAATGAACTAGTGCAAATATAGAAAGAGCTTTTTTTGTGTAATGTTACTTCATTCTGATGCTTTGGATGATGTTTGTGGTTTAGGACTACCGTAATAGTTGCAGCCCTCATCCCAGCTGCATCATTGTGTGCTTCCTCTTTCCTACAACCCTTATCTGTAAATCTCTGAAAAACATTTAATGTTGCTTTCTCATGCCAGCCAATTGAAGCTGCAGACATAAGGGCTGCTTATTGACCTTTTTCCACCC